GTCATCAATAAGCTCCCGATCTAGGTTGGGAAACATGTTCGAAAGTGTCTCAACAACATTCTTATGCTCAGCACGTTGGATACGGCGCGCCTCTGCATCCTCAGCACTAGCCTGGCGTGCGGCGGCATCCTGGGCGTCGAGCACGCGGGTTAGATTCTTCTTGGCAGAGGTTCCGCTACCATGTGCGGAGTGAGCCCGCTCGTCGCCTGAGCGACGGCTATCCTCGCTGCTTGCACGAGGGGGCTGGTAGACGTTTGGGGTGAGACGGGGCGGAGCAACACCAGGTTGGGGCGTGGGGATAGGCTGGGGGCGTTCTTGAGAAGCGATAGAACCTGAATCTGTGTCGTCGGAGAAGATGCGACCAATGGTGGAGAGGGGTTTTTGAATTGTGCGTAGTAGTCCTGCGACTGGGGCAGACATTTCGTCGTCACTGGACTGGGTAGTTTCCCTGCGGCTTGGTCCGGCCTGGGGTTGAGATGGAGGGGGTTGGTTGGAGGGTTTGTCTTCAAAGGTTTCAGTTTCGCGGTTCTGTTCTGCAATTGCGGAAACGGCGGCTTCGACGTTGCGTTCAAAGTCCTCGTCGCTGACGGTTAGACTTGTGCGGTCGAGGCTCTCGATGAATTGGATGGCTCCAGACTAAAAGAGGTCAGTTTTTGATATTCTAGGGCAGTATAGAAGTCAAACATACCAACGATGAGATGTAATAACCTGCTTCGCCGCCAAGTTTATCCTGGTTGCGGAATCGAAGAATGTATTGAATGTTAGAAACAAGATGGTCAGGGTTTGCATGCAAAACCACATAGATCAGGAGGGGGATGAAAGAGTCGGCAGAGGTGTCGGCCTTTTTGGAATTCTTTAATAGACCAAAGATGACTTTGCAGCAGTTCAAAATGCAAATGACCTTATCCCGAGGAGCCCGGTAGCCGTTGATTTTTGATATTTCTGTCAAGCAAAGTCAGCAAAAGTTGAAAATATCCCCAAAACAGCCTATAATACGTACCTTGCTGTGCCAGATTCAAGAAACGGCGTCCACTGCCGCTCACAGTTGGGATGTCCAGATGCGCTTCGTTGACCCAACTATAAATGCGAATCTTCTGGGCCAGGATATCGTCTCGCTCAATGTCCTCCTGATGCTGGCCACGTCGCCATGGCCCATGAAGTCTCTCTAGCTCTCTCCGTCGGCTCCGACTTGCACTTCTGGGTATCGTTGGCGGGGCTGGAATGGCTGGGGCAAAGGTTTGTGTATACAGACGATTCATAACAAGTTTCTCCATGCCTTCCTTGGCATTATCGAATTCGCTATCCGATACATCTCGCCAGATCTCGCACATGGCCATCTTATTTGTGATAAACGTCAGGAAATCGCTGATGATCTTGACTTGCTCGTGAACCATCCATTGCTTCTTGCCAAACTCCATGAGGAACGACCGCAAGAACTTGGCTACGGGGTCGGCAGTGCGGTGACGCAGCTGTTCTAAGAAGCGGTGGAAATCGAATGGTTGGTCAGACTCTGGTTCCGGCAGTGGTAAGACCGTTGAGGTGGAAGCTCGTCGGTTTTCTACCGGCGATTCGGGCTTGTGAGGATGTTGGGATACAGGCTGCTTCTCCGGGGATGTAGCGACCGGGGAGTCCGCAGACTCGGTAGGAGGCGCATGGTCCAAACTGGATTTGCGTGGCGGGAAATATGTTGGAGCGCCTCGGAATTTATCAGCAAGCTCGAGCCGTGGAGACATGATCTCTTTTTGGTCGGTGCTTCGCGCGGGGTCCTGGAATTGTCCCATAATATTTTGAATCTCCGCCTGGGAGCCATTATCGTCCTTAGTCCCTTCAACCTGACCACCTCGTTTAGATTCCGGGTCACCATTACTGGGCACATCCGGGAGCTCCTTCTCGGGGCTGGGGGTCCGGCTTGTATCGATGGGTGGGAGTGATGGCGCAGTAGTGCTTGAGCTTCCGTTGAGGTTGAGGTTAAGGTAGACATCGTCCTTCTGTGGCGGAGGGGGTGGAGGAGTATTTGTACTGGATGACAGGTTGGGTGTCGTGTTTTCAGAGACCGACAGTCCTTCCATCTGCCCCGCAAGCTGTTGTTGCTCAGCCTGTGGTGGTTGGGCAGCTGTCGTCACGTCCATCGCGGTGGGATCGGAGGTAGCAGCCTCAGCGTGTGGCTCTGTTGTGTCTTGTGCACTCATTTGGATTGTTTGACTGCTGTCTTGTTTCGCAAGATCGTCTTGTGTTTGAGCTAGGAGATCGGTTGGGGCGGCCGGCGTCTCAGTGTGTTCATGGATATACCGGACGTCTCTCGTCTCGGGACCCGGAGAGGGCGGGGATTCTGTGGCAGACATAAGCTATATTAATCATATGCGCCCGGGCAAAAGGGATAGATTCAGGGGGGTCATAAAGGCTCCGAGTATGCTCATGCGGCTCTCTCATGTTGATATGCGGATCATCATTCAACCGAGGTAGTCCGCTTCTCGATTCAGCCCTGGAGGTTACATTGACGTATGGAGGAATGAGTGCCTACGTTAATTTCTTTCTTTTATTTGAGACAACTAGATCAGCAAACAATAAAGACCATTTAATACAGCATTAAGGATTTGTGAATCAGCAACAGAGATCTATCTACTACCTGCATACAGTTCTAACAATGGCCAACCTGTGTACCTTCATACTACATGATACTCTTCACCTTTCACTGATTTCAAAGTCAAAGGCAGTATGAAGAGAGCAATGTCATCTAGCAAGAGACCATCAGAATTTCAACATATTACAATCCATTGTGAATGCATCTGCTGGAGAAGGCGACCTCATGGGTGCCCACCTGGACAGGTCACGGGTGGATCTATAGACATGACTAATATATTAATGCCTCAGGCATCAATATATCCAAGAAAAGCTACCAAGCTAACCATCTCAGAATAAACAACACTCCCACTCTGTTCCTCCGCCATGTGTGGGATTTTCTTTTCGTTGAGCTCATCAGAGCCCACACCATCCACACAGGAGACATGCACTTCACTCCAAAAGCGAGGACCAGACAGCTACAAAACTCATACGGCGCAAAAGGATATTCACGCACAGGATGGAGTGTCCCCGCCCCTTTCCTATTATCTCACCTTCACATCCACTGTGCTGGCATTAAGAGGTGACCATGTGTATACACAGCCACTCGTAGACCCCAGAACACAGTCGGTGCTCTGCTGGAACGGAGAAGCCTGGAAGATCGCTGGGGAGCGCGTTCAAGGCAATGATACCGAACGCGTTTTCAACTTATTTCTACAGGCAGTGGGCAGTGACCAGAAGGATTCTGTTGAAAGAATGGCTGAAGCTATTGCAAGTCTCTCTGGGCCATTTGCCTTTGTCTTCTATGATGCGGTCAACTCAAGACTCTTCTACAGCAGGGATTGCCTTGGGAGGCGATCTCTCCTCGAGGGATTCGATGAAAATGGCAATTTGAAGATTTGCAGTATTTGCGACAGCGCGTCGATGGATTGCTTTAAAGAAGTGGGCACCAAGGGCGTTTGTACGATTGACCTAGCTCACTATCAAGATCCTTCTTTATCTCCCAGAGAGTTGTGCCAAACCAGGACCTTGCCATGGAGCTCTGCTGCTTCGCCGTCAACTGATCACATTGTATGTTCTAAGGTTCATATCTTCCCCCAAGAGCAACAACTGACAAGAGACCAAAGAGAAAATCGATTCCACCAATGAATACAACACTACCCACAGAGCAGCCTCCTGCATTGACAACGGACTCAGCATTCGTCAAGGAGCTCGAGTCAAACCTGCGTCAATCACTTGAACTGAGAATTCAGAACGTGCCCGAGCCTCCGGGCTACATTGCAGGCGAGACCGCCAAAACAGCCGTTCTCTTCTCCGGCGGTTTAGACTGCACACTTCTCGCCAGACTCTCTCATGATATTCTCCCCCTCAATGAACCAATCGACCTCCTCAACGTAGCATTCGAAAATCCCCGCGTGGCAGCAGCCGCAAAAGCCAACCAACAAAAATCCCCCTCCTCGCCACCACCCCTCTCCATCTATGAAAACTGCCCAGACCGGATAACCGGTCGGTCCGCGCACACCGAGCTCCAAGCAACCTGTCCAGGCCGCACATGGCGCTTCATCGCCATTGACATCCCCTACACAGAAACCCTCACACACAGAGACCAAGTCAAGCGCCTAATGAGACCCCACAATACCGAAATGGACATCTCCATCGCCTGCGCCTTGTACTTCGCATCCCGCGGCCAAGGAACAGCCCAAACAAACCCCTCAGCCCAACTCCCAACCCCAGGTACTCCTCCATCTCCGCTTTACACAACCACATCCCGCGTCCTCCTCTCCGGCCTAGGTGCCGACGAGCTCTTCGCCGGCTACGGCCGACACGGTGTCGCCTTCAACCGAGGCGGATTCAAAGATCTGATCGCCGAGATCGATCTCGATGTCAGTCGACTCGGCTCGCGCAACCTCGGCCGCGACGACCGCGTCCTCTCCCACTGGGGCCGCGAGACGCGTTTCCCATTCCTGGACGAAGAGTTCGTGGCTTGGGTGCTACAGGCTCCTGTGTGGGAGAAGTGCGGGTTCGGACTTCCGCAGATTGATACTACGGCTGGTATTGATTCCGAGAAGTTGGCGCTGCGACTTGTCGCTCTGCGGTTGGGGTTGGTGAAGGTTTCTCGTGAGAAGAAGAGGGCTATTCAGTTTGGTGCGAGGACGGCCAAGATGGAGACGGGGAGGTCTAGAGGTACGGATGCTTTGAGCTGAGACTTATGGCGGATGGATTTATGCTATCTGCTACATGTTTTCGGTCTTTTGAGGTGCTTTTCCGCATGCATATCCCCATACATCTTCCTACTTCCTACTTCCTACACATCCATCCATCTACTCTTTTCTTTCTGTCTATTATAGATTCCTCCCTTTTTTTTCTTTTCACTTTTGTCCTCTACTATGACCCTTTCTCCCTCCCCCACCACTCCTCACCACCAGCTATGATGACAAAACATGGAAACAGATACTTCCGAAACCTCCACCCCACCCAACAACCCAGCCTTCCTTCATGTCAATACACACAACATCTACAAACACACCTGTCCTTGTCAAATACCCGACCCTGCACACCAGAACTTCAAATGCCCCATCTCTCCTAGTGTCTCCCGCCCTCTTTCGTTCATCCATAGAGCAACCGCAGTTCTCGGACGGCGTGTAACTCATGCTGAAAGGAAGCGGGCGAGGCGCGGGGGAATGGAGTGCTGTTTGGCTTTATGGTACAGACAGGGGATTTGGGAGGTTGGGTTGTGAGTGTGGATGGTATGAGATGAAGGGTGGTTGGGGGGATCGGGGTGTGTTTATGAGGTACTTAAAAGGCAAGTCTGAGCTGAGTTAGATGAGATTATAACTATACATACCTTTCCTTTCACCTTTTGAGGGATATGGGATATGCAGATAGATCATGGTGGTGCACTTGACTACAATCATATCTATGAGGGCAGAACATAGGCCAGGGAGGACATGGGGTAACTATACATGAACTTGAAGAGGTAGGTGTAGGTAATATATAGTGGACTAGAGCAAGGTTTACAAGTAGGAATAAGAGATAGAGCAATATAATCGATTCGAACAGAAACAAATACCATATTAAGATAGCCACGAGTCAATCCCAAAGGGAGACGATCAGAACCGGCCCAACAAAAAAATAAAATAAAAACCAAGGTGTAATCTGAAACAGCAAAGTAGAGAAACCAAAATGAGAATCACAGATCTAAAGGAAAACAAAAAAGAAACATTGACTGAAGAACTTGTCTCAAAACTTTTCAAGAGAATCAGATGAGACGAACCGAATCGCGTTCATCTGATCTCGGTGAGACGTCGGGGCTAGGCTTTACCCATCACCCGCGCCTACCACAATACCCAGAGGGTCAAGAGGAAACACACAAAACAAGACAGAATGTCTAATCATTACAATCGTCAGATTCACCAAGATAGGCCATAAGCCAAAGACCAATGCCTCAAAATTAGGAATGACCAAGATCAGATGAAAGCATCACCATTACTGGTAGGTGTTTTGAATCTGGAGCTGAGCCTTAAGCTTGGCAATCTCCGCGTCGCGCTCAGCGATGATCTTCTGAAGATCCTCGATGCGACGCTCAGAAGTGTACTGGCGTTCCATCTTCTTGGCACGCGACTTCCGCGCCGCCTCGGTGTTGCGAGCACGCTTAGCAGCAATAGGATCATTGGGATCGAACTCAACAGGCGTCAGGTTCTTGCGCGATCGCGCGTTGACACCTGCGACGCTGGAGTGCTTGACTGCACCGGAAGCGGGAACAGGCGATGATGCCACTGAACGCTTCTCGCGAGGAGAGACAGGAGACACGGAGACTGGAGGTGCTGGCTTCTTCTCTTCGGTAGGGAAGGCAGCTGCGACATCCAAGGTAGCGAGGTCAAAAGCATTCAGGTGGTCTGACGAGTGATCAAAGAGGGAAGGCCATTCTTCGTGGCCGGCAATATCCATGTCGGTGAACATGGGCGAGGTGTTTTGGCTGAAAGTGCCAGGCGACTCAAACGAGGGAGTGCTCAAGTCAGTGAAGGTGCCGGATGGAGGAACGGACGCATCCATCATCAGGTCCTTTGGCGAGATAGTGCCAGGAGGACCTTCGGGGGAGTAGTCCAGACCAAGATCGTTGAAGAGAGGCGAAGCCATGCTAGCAGAGAAGTCGGCAGAGGGAAGACCGAAAAGATCAACCTCGTGAGCTTTGATGGGGTTAGTGATATGCTTGCTAGGATCTGGTGAGATATGTGATAAATTACCTTCCATGAAGTTGGGAGTGGACATGACACGTCTATATGTTTGCGCGTTGTTTGTGTGGTTCTGTTGACCGTTGAAAAGTGGTATGGGAGGGCGGTTGGTGTTTGGAGAATTGGAAGGCACAGAAGCCGTGTTAGGACGGTTGTGCGTGAACGTGGGACGGGACCAATAAGAGGGGGACCGGGCAAGCTGGGTCACTCTGGGGTCTTGGACAGGTGAACCAGAGAACTGCTGCTGGAGATGTCGGTGCAACTGCAGACTGAAGGAGTGTCGACGAGGGTTATTCTGCGCCAGGAATGGCTGAAGTGCAGAAGGTCTATGGGTTGTGTTCACAGGCACACGCAAACGGGGCTGCGGGTGTGGTGTTGCTGATGGATAGAGCACAAAGTCCTCGAGTGCACTGTTGTTGTTGTTGTTGTTGTTGTTGCTGTTGTTGTTCTGATTGGAAGCCAAGGGCTGTGGTGGTGGGGGTGAGGGAAGCCATGTTTGCTGGTGGTAATCCGTGGTGAACGACGTTAAGTCGATCGGGGTAAAGTTGTTGGGAGAACTCGAGCTACGCGATGCGATGCTGAAGTTCAGAGGTCCAAAAGGAGACTCTGAAGGGGGAAGAGAGGAGATAATAGGGTTGGTTCCGGTTGAAGAAATGATGTCTGTCTCAGTTGAGATAGACGGGGTATTGAAAGACGGGGAGCTTATTGGGCACCCATTTTGGCGATAGTGAAGTTGAGTATAGTTTTGGTCTGATATCAATATGGCGGTTTATGTGTATGTATGGGTGTGAGTGAAAAAAAAAAGATGTGGTATAAAAGAGGAAGAAAAATCAGGCAAACGGGGAGGGGGAACTCAGGCACTTCTTAAGGGCTGTGTGCCCTGGTGCTGACCAATCGGGAGTCCGGAGCCGCACGGGGCTTAGTTCTGAAAGTCACGGGGTGTGAGTCACAGTGTAATCCATGGCTCTGATTGGTTTACATTGAGCAAGGCATCCACAATACGGAGTACATCACAGTACATCGCATGATACCCGTGCATTCGCTTGCATTTACCTACATAGTCCAAGTATCTTACAAGTACCTGTCTCCACGATCCTCTCCGGTTATTTCCAGATTGACCAATCATCGATCAGATACCTCTCCCTCCGGAATATCCAGGCATCCTACATTTTTTTTTATTTTGTTTTTTTATTCTTTTTTCCTTACTCCTTATATCCTCTCCAACCATCCCATTATTACAACATATATTGTCTTTCTTGGTTAAAGGAAATCAATTCCATCCAAGAACCAAAACAACAATTTCAGCTACCATACCAGCGTATCTCTTCGGGGAGGTCCAGCCGTTCTCCATGAGGATAAAGGAAAATGCAAAGGATCCACCGATCTTTTCCCAATTGTGTCCCCGCGGTGGGCTGAGTCTAGGGTCAATGTCCTATAAAATGCTCACGTTTCATTAGTCTTGCCGAAGGGCGTGAAATTGACTTTGAGACGTTTAGTCCGATCTCTGAAACCGAAATACTTTGAATGCTCAGAGTACAATTATATATGTTGTAGATATATAAACGCCATATTAAGCTAGTGTTTCTTATATATACTACTTGGTTTCAAGCAGAAAAAAAAAAAAAAAGAATCACTCAATAGGATATTGACACATACGGAGTATACGGAGTACTTTGTACGGAACACTCCGTACGGAGTAGTCCAGACCCAATTTATTGAAATTTTTGCTGTGGATTTTCCTAATGCCGACGTACCTTGCGAGGAGACTACGCCGAAATAGGAGTCCGCTGGAGGACACCTTACATGTTGTGATGGCCTTGAAAAAAGAATGTCATCATTATTGCCTACAACATATAGGATGACTGTTGATCTTTGAATCTAGACTTTTTTCGATCTTCTTACAATCAATATAACATCATATTGAAAATTAAATCTGCTCTCTGCCTAGTCGAATTGGTGGTGTCCTAAATGAGGCTGTTAAGACGCACCCCAGGCCGCCAGCGCATCGCTATGGGGTCGCTGGATCCTCAACTACGAGTTATTGCTTGCAGATACATATGCAACTATACCCGCTGGATGTTACCTCGGTGGGGCTTTCTAGAATATGTGTAATTGAGCATTACTACGATTATCCAAGGTGATAGATATGGAGAAAAAGTTCTGTACAGTTTAGAATTTTTATTGCCGTTGTATGTATCTAGAACGATATAGTTATACATATGTACTTACATATCACGTCCCTGGTATCATCTTGCGCCAACAGATCAGATTATCCAAGTCTTACCTACCTAGTTACATTACGGAGGCGGCATAAAATATACGCGGTCGATTACTCTGGTGTAAACGATATTTCAAAATCTAACGCTTATATACCCTGTAGTGTGGATGGATATTATGTCCCTACCTGACCGCTCCTTTGCACAGTCAGCCCACACTTCACGACTGCTTCTGCTTAACCGAGCGCCATTCAATCAAAAGACTTCCCACCATCGTCATACAAGCCAACGCGACAGAAACGTACCAAGTACGAGTCAAGCTCCGATCGATACCACCCAAGACCTCATCCCAACGCTGCATAGGAACCCCGTTCTTAATATCGCCCAGTCCATGCTCTTCAATAAACTTAGGAGTTAAGCCTGTCACAACATCTGCCAAATTCGACGACAACTGATTCGTAAATATAACCTGTGCAATAGCGATAAAAACCGCCGGGCCCATACTCTGTCCGAACAAGATGACCCCAATCCCAAGATTGACATCTGCGACGCTTAGCGTTGTCTGAACAGCTGCTTGGGGCGCTTGGAAGCCGATGCCTCCGCCGAAGCCTACGAATCCCGAATAGAGGATGATCTTGGGTAGGGATGTGCGTAGATCGTATGTTGTCATTAACCCTGCGGCAATCGGCATGCATATGGAGGCGAAGATCATAAAGGGGGCGTAGTAGCCGAATGTGGTGGTACCGATGCCTTGGAGAAAGAGCCCAAGCATCATTCCAACGAGGATGGGGATCATTAGGTAGCCGCTCTCGCTTGGGGTCTAGCACGGTATAACATTGTCAGTGTATTTTCTTATACGTATGAATTGGCCACGAAGTCTTACCCGAGATCGAACGACTTGATAGTATGTTGGTAAGTACCACTCCAAGACGTTCGTCATCGAATTAGTGCACGTCGCGAATATGAAGCCTGCAATGACACTCCGGCTTTTGATAACTCGGAAAGGGAGTGCTGCGGAGTCTCCGCGACGGTATTGGTTGAAGATAAAAGCTGCGAGTAACACACCAAATGCAACGAATAATGTAATCACTTTCCCATCTGACCAGGGATACTTTGTTCCCGCCCAAGACAGCGCGACAAAGAGCGCTGTTAGGGATGGGATGAACAAGCAGTTGCTGACGAGGTCCAGCTCTCTGATTTTCTGGGATAGTGTCAAGTCGTCCTCTTGGAGGGTTCTAGGGTCTGAAAACAGGAAAAACATGGCCAACAGCGATAACCCGCCAATAGGAAGATTGATCCTACCTAGAAGTCAGTATCAAGCTACAAACCCTGATCATATCTATCTATGACTATAACAACATACCAGAAACACCATCTCCACCCCAAAGACTGCGTTAATGCACCACCTACTATAGGCGCCGCAATGATAGCAAGCGATTCCACACACCCCATCAGACCCGCAAACACAGGTCGCTTGTTGAGCGGTAGGATGTGCACAATGACTGCAAAACATCCAGCCAGCTCACCCGAGAACCCCAGACCCGTCACTGCCCGCCCTACAATGAACATGAGCGAAGAAGCAGCCGTGGCACAGAGTAAAGAGCCGACGAGGAATATAACAATACTTATCAAGAAGATGGTCTTGATTGAGAAGAGCTTATACAGCTTGGCGAACCCGAATTGGAACGCACAGGTACAGAGTCGAAATGCAGATGAGTACCATCCCACGTCCGCGACAGTGTGGAAGTGGTTAGTGATGCTCGGTACGGCTGTAGCGACGATGCTGGCGTCGAGGCCTCCAAGGATGAGGACGACGCATAGTGCGATGATAGTGAACCAAAATTTGGTGCCTGTTGGATAACTGGCCTCTATGTTTGTGGTAGATTCGATGTTGAGGGGCTCAGCTATTCGTGTCGAGGCTGCCGTAGGTAGTGGGTGGTTTGGTTGTTGCTGTTGCTGCAGGTCGGGCGAGACGGTGGACGCTTCGGGCTCGACCGAAATGACCTTTGTCATAGTTGTAGTTGTAGTCACCATTATACGAGACTCTAGAGAATGGACATATGAGAAGAAAGATAACAGAGGAAGGTCCCATTATCTTACTCCGTACACCATGGACTGAGCATGTACTCCGCAGCCATCTTTGTAGGCCAGTAGGGATTAAGTAGGACCTCGGCGCCCCCCGAAGGGATTCTGCTCACCCTACTCCAAACTATTTATCGAGCTTAAGACTACGTAAAAATCACAGAATAGAAATATAAAGCAAAAACTGAGAGATTCTATTAAGTATTACCTATCGCAAGGTGTGCCACCTTCACGGGCGGAATATAAACCATCCGTTCGGGACAATAACGGTAGACAATATTACGGGTCAATTTGGGTTGCAGGAAGAAACAAGTCAAAAGACTAGATCCGAAGCTCAAGCAACAAACAAAAAGAGCACCCATCCTCCCCACAGGGTATCAAACACAAAAGCAAGAAACCAAAAAAAAAAAAAAAAAAAGAAAACGGCAGAGTGGTATCAATCTAGTCGGACGACACACCACGTAACACATAGTCGCGTCGCGAATGGAGTCACAGACGCGAGACGCAGGTCGTAAAGGAATGAGCCGCAGTCCAAAGGACTTCTGGCGTCGTTGGCGCCGAGGTATTATTTTAGAGAAATAGAGATCGAAGGGAAAAAAGCGACAGCGGGTATCTCATTGTCGCCATCTCAGTTCAAGCCCAAAAATAAGGGGGGCCGTACTGAAAATAGCGACAGTGGCGAGGGAAAAACAAAACAATTAGAGCGATGTGGTATCAAAGTTGCACCTTCAGGACTCAATTAGACCGTCAGGGATATCGCGAGCAGGCGATGGATAGGACATATCCCACCACCGTTCAAACTCCACGACAGGTCTCCGAGTCGCACTTCATGCGGCAGCCTGAACGGGGGTGGCGGTGGCAACGTTGACGTTCTTGGTCTCCTCGGTGGTCTCGACAGCCTTGGGGGCCTCGACGACGGGGGCGTTCTCAGTGGCAGTCTCCTTGGCGGGGACGGCGGGGGCCTCCTCAGCGGCGTCAGCCTTAGCCTCGGTCTCAGCGGCAGCAACTTCCTCCTTGTCGAGCTTGACAGCCTTGCTGGGCTTGCGGAAAAGACCGCCGAGCTTCTTGGCCTTGGTCTCCTTGGCCTCTCCATCGGTGACCTCGTTGTCAGAGTCAGCCTTCTTTTCCTTCTTCATGCCAAGGTTGCCGAAGAAGGAAGTGCGGCGCTTCTCCTTGGGGCTGGAGACGGCCTCAGCCGCGGGAGTCTCAGCAGCAGGGGTCTCAACGGCCTCAGCGGGGGGCGGTCACAGCCTCGGCTTCGGTGGGCTTGGCAGTGGCCTCCTCGACGGGGTTCTCGAGCTGAGGAGCAGTGCTGGCGACAGGGGTCTCCTCGGTAGCGGGGGCGGTGGCCTCCTTCTCGGACTTCTCCTGGGAGGGGCTGGCGACCTTCTGGAAGAAGTTACCGAAGATAGAAGCACGCTTGGCCTTCTTCTCAGCCTTCTTCTCGTCCTTAGCCTCCTCCTTGGCGGCTTCGGTAGTCTCAGCGGGGGTCTCAGTAGTAGGCTCAGCAACCTCAACGGGGGCAGGAGCAGCAGCCTCGGTGGACTCAGCAACGACGGGGGCAGGAGCCTCAACTGAGGGCTCAGCAGCAGGCTCGGCAGCCTTGGTCTCCCCGGCAGCGGGGGTCTCCTCCTTCTTCTCCTCGGCGTCCTTCTTGCCCAGGAGGGAACCGAAGATGCTGGTGCGCTTGCGAGACTGGGAACGGCTCTTGGCGGCGGCCTTCTCCTTCTTCTCCTCCTTGGGTTCTTCCTTGGGCTCTTCCTGGGCGGCCTCAGCAGCGACAGCGGGGGTCTCCTCCTCCTTCTTGTCCTCCTTCTTCTCCTCGGGCTTCTTGGCGGCGGCAACGGCAACGGCAGGCTTGGTCAGCTTCTCGAGCTCAGCCTTGTAACCCTCGCTGGAGGTGATGGTCTCCTTCTCGGCCTTGGCTTCGGTGGCCTGAGCCTCGATGGCGACAACCCAACTGTCACGCTCAGCGGCGCTAGAGGCCTGGAAGGTGTGCTTCTGACCAGCAACCTTGAAGAGGAACTCGCTGGTACCCTCCTTGGTCACATCAGAGACATCGGCCTATGAAACATGTTAGTGTTTGTCAAATCGCGGCACAGTCGCCAGAGCACTTACGAGGTTGAAAATGCCAGCCGGGGTGGCCTTGTCCTCAGCGCGCTTGGTGAGGAAAAGCAAACCCTTGCCGGTCTGGCTGGCCCAGGCGGCGGTGGGGTTGGCGACGGCAGCCTTCTCGTTCTGGTGGAAGACAGAGAGCTGCTTGCTCTCAACGGCCTCCTCGTTGAAGTAGAAGAAGCGCTTGGCGAAACGGAAACCCCTGAAACAAAAAAAAGAATACCTGTTAGTTCCTGTGTCGCATTCGCTATCTCACTCGCAACTTACTTGACCAGACCAGGGGCCTTGTAGCCCAGAACGCCCTCAGTCGCGGGCTTCACTTCCTCCTTCACAGGCTCAGCAGCCTCGGTGCTCTCAACAGCGGGAGTGGCGGTGGGCTCGGCGGCCTCAGTGGTCTCCTTGGGAGTTTCAACCGCAGCCTCGGTGGCAGGGGTCTCAACAGCAGTCTCAACGGCAGGGACAACCGCGGGGGTCTCCTCAACAGTCTTCTGGACTTCAGACATAATTAAAATAATAGACGGGGTATTAAAGAAGCAGAGCTTCGTAAGTAGAAGAAGGCGTGTTGGGTATAGGGTATCTCAAAGGAAAAGCAAAGGAAATTAGAGCACAATAGCTCGGGGTATCACGAAGTAAGTTATTTTGCTTTGTGGGAGGAAGAAGAGAGAAGAGGAGAGGAAAAGGGAAAAAAAGAGTCAGAGGGTTGTTGATGGCGTCCGCCCAAAAATGGAAAGGACCTGCAGGGAGCCCAGAGCTCAGTGGACCCACAACAAGATTAGCTAATGGCACTTCAGGGGTTAAATTTTTTTTTTTTTTTTTGTTTTTTTCAATTTTCAATTTTCGTTTTATTTCATGTTTTTATTTTTCCCCCTTAGTTTCCTATGATTTCTTTTTTAATATCATCATTACATTTACTCTTTTTTTTAAACTACTGTATTCTCCCTTTAATTTTGCAATATCAATAATTTACGATGTACAATAACGTAACTTGGGATATGGTTTACCAACTTTCCAAGGTTGTAGTTCCGGTGGAACATATCCCAATCTATACCTGAGGTTCACGGGATACAGAGTACTTCTTCGTAAGATACGAACTTCCTTTGTCTAGCATGGCGCTAGACCTGATCTAACTCAATTTAGTTCCTTAACATCAAGAAAATAGGAGAAAGAAAACTCTGCAATCCTTGGCTTACAACTGTATGTTGTATGAAACCATCACACCATGGCCACCCCGAGTTATGATCAGCCATGCAGCTTGAGTCAACGGTCCCGTTTTGTGTCTCCTAATTAATCCGTGCATTCGGATCCTCTTACCGATTTGATAATATGTCTTGCAACACTTCTTTTTGTTTCATGTTCATTCTATTCTATACAACATACAAAAAAAAAAAAAAAACAAAACAATATATCATCAGCGGGGTTATCTCGGATGGCGTCAGGTCATAAGACTATCAAAATAAAGTATAAGTGCACAATTTCATACTTCCTCGCCCCGTAAGGAGGTTCTATGATTGTTCGGTGGGCCGCCACACCGTTGGCGCTCATTCCATCATCGCTTTGAACTATCCCGTTACACAGTTCAAGGGAGGGAGTTACCGTCAGAATTACCGAAATGATCCCATTCATTATTAACTCAACTGAAAGTTTCAATGGTTCTTTCGTATTACTCCGCACCATCAACACCTCGATCTGAGCTTACAAGGCTCTCCATCCCTCGAAAGGGCCATATCAGTACTAGAATATCCCAATATCCCTTTGGAGGGGCATCCCTATACTCCATACCCCTCCTTCCACAAGGCAGTCCGTCATTTTGCTTCCTTCGTGATGATCAGCCCAGTAGCTCAGTACATATGAACTTTGTCGCATTAACTAGGATACCGGGGTTATGCACTCATCTTTAGGTTCTGCAGAATGGTTGGCCATCATGACTTCCTGGTGTAATCTTTACTCAGACCCCATGACCTGATATCAGCTCTATGATGGAGTGGCGTGGAAACCCTCGTGGACAACCAACCAACAGTGACACGACCCCTCCTTGTTGGCTCTAGCTTTGATGTACATATCTCCTATCGGCGTATCAACTATCTTTACCACGCTGCGGGAAGGATCCCATGATGGTTTTTTCTAGCCAATCCCAGCACATTTACAGAGTGTCGCCTCTTTACGTGAGAAGCGCATCATTACATGCGAGGATCGTCTCATAATTCCAATTCACGAAGTACAAAGTATACTAGTTACGTTGTATAGTTCACAAAATAACATATTTGAAATTAAAAAAAAAACAATATCCATAGGTATGGAAAATAATGCCCCTAATTGAACCCCTTTTCTTTCGCCCTTTACAACATACTCCGTACCCCGTACGCTACTTTTTTTACTTCTAGATTCATCTGTGACGATATGTACTCCGTACTCCGTACAAACAAGAAAGTACGTGGTCCCACTAGACTATACATTTAGTTCCAAGTCTTAGCGAATAGGGGGCTAGGCAGCCCTACAAACTCTGCCCAGGTGAATCAAAGCACTTTATTTAGCATCGCTTCCACGGTTCATCTTCAGGACAGTTGTCTACCGGCACAACCTAGAACATGGTACACACAACGTAGGTTTTTTTTTTTTTTAACCGGCTACACAATACATTTGTAGATATATCTATATCCGTAGGAGGGAAGTGGTATGGTTCTGATCTACAACTCCCATCAAAACAACAACCGCGAGGGTCCCAACACTGGGTGCCAGAATGTGGTCATCAAAGCATTTCCAGTAATGATAGCCACACAAGAGGAATCCACCCCCTGCTCGATACCCTATCATGGTTCCCTTTTGCACCCGTTAAAGCCTCCAAACCCATATATCGTGCCGTTTTTGCCCTTTTTTGCGGTCGCAAGTCCCGAGTCTTATCCCTGCTCCTGCTGCGTCTCATGAATGGTTGGAATCCACCGGTCATAGACGATCATACATTATTCCAAGTCGGGCTTGTCGATCTTACCTCCTCTCTTGTCGACGTATGTTGTATGGACTAAATCTTGACACCATGCAAGTACCATGCGTAGCGGGGACCGGGCGCTTAGGGACTCTTTCCCGCTTTTTCGGGATGCATATTCCTCCATCTGACTACATTGTAGTTTGTGATTGTCCCAGGAACATACATTGTACCGTACATGATGCAGATAGTTAACTAGTTAGTTAGCTATAGTTGCGTGTTTTTGTTTAGCAGAAAAAAAACAAAAACAAAACAAGAATATCGTGCCACAGCAGCAGGACTACAGGACTACAGTTAGGTCCACATAGGTACTTCACTTTCGAGAAAGATAGAACATATCTCCCGAGCACATTACGGAGTAAATTAATCTTAATACTTCGCGCCAAGCACCAACTTGACCTGCGGTGTACACAGGGGACGGGTTTCCCGTCCATCCAAGCTCTCCGATGCCCCCCCGAGGACTCTAGCGTCCACTAGATTAACTTAACCATGGCACACTTTGATGAGGATGGACATTTGCTTCATATTAGCTTGTATTAATTGTGGGTTTTCTCACCCGATTTAATCTTGTAGAACATGCTGAACAGAGGTATACTTCCGACGGACAGTATCCGAATGAAATTGTGATTCAAACGTCTTTCGGTCTTTTGGGTGGTACGGGAGGTGAGAGGTGAGAGCCACAATACAAAGTTGTGGAATAGGGGAGGATCCACACAAGCTCGGGTATGGAGTCTGGCTTGTTTTTGAGGCGTCGAGTCTCGAACAAGGAAGGAGGTTTCAATTATTGATTCATATCTGTGGTCTGGTATTGATTCGGGATTTCTCTTCACTTCGGCGCCAGTATTTACTTAGATCCTAGGGGATATATGCATGGTACCTATGTCCTGCACGTTGCACAATATAACTACCTATGTTGTACAACAACATACGATGTATAGTAGGGCCATTCCCTTAGCCTGATAGGTCAGAAAATTCCAAATAGGGAGGGCGGTAGATGACTCATATCACATGCAGGTGGGTCTTGGCATAATCACATGACCTCGCTTCTTAAGCCAACTAGAAGTTGCCACCGGTTTCTAAGATTTGCCACCGCCTTGTAAATTTTGTATAAATACCCCCAGCTCACCCGGCCCTTCCTCCTCTTTTTCTTTTCTTCTTCATACTTACCTTGTTTGGGTGGATGCGATCATCAAGGCAGCTCACCACAGATTGGTCCCTGCATTGCACATCGCGGCGGAACAGTCCGTTCAATGGTCTTCGTGACTATTGACAAGCGTTATTTTTGGCACTCTCCATTCGTGGAACTCTTTTCATCAAGTTTTGAGCCTGTGGCTCGAGGTTGGAGATGAGATATGTCCAGTAGATTTCAGTACAGTCACTACACAAAAGCTTAGTCTCCCAATTTCTGCCGGTCAGATATCCACCAATCAGCAATTGACGGACAATGGGCGGTATCGCAAATTAGGAAGGCGGTAGTAGAAGGGGTGCTAAAAATTTTGCGTAGTGACTGTAAGGCCAGTAGCCATTGATTACTCGAGGTCGTACACATTGTACTATGTCCCGTCAGTCGCTCTCTGACTCGGACTTATATTCATCACGTCTCCTGAACGCAGCTTAGTGCCTGTCGGTCGTCGTGTCGAGTAATTGATAGCTCATTCACCTTGTTTTCATTCTACGATGCTTTAGTGTCCAGTGTCCTTGCTCCCAATCCTGAACTGCTGGACTCTCACTTCTTGGCCCCGTTTTGTTGATATGACGTCTGACTCGATAGCTTCGCCACATGTGTGGCGACGAACCACCAGGCCAATTCTTGCCGGCATAAAACCCAGCCGTGACATCCTACTAAGCCAAACTCATTAACAGCTTGAATTTAGTTTACCATCATCACTTCCTCGAACTAATTCCCTCAATCCCACTACGGCAATCACAACCAAGAACGAACCTCCCTCAATCTCAACTAAAACCAAAATGCCCGTCCCCACTGCCGACCTCTTTGACAAGCAACAAGACGAAGCCAACTGCACACAACCTCCCAGCTCTGCTACACACACTTCCCCTGACCACATCAACAACAACAGCTATTTCGGGACCGCGCCTGGTAGCTCGGCTAGTGCGTCGCAGAATGCTGATAGTGGTCGCGCTCTGACTAAGGAAGAGGCCGATCGCCTGTACGAGGAGCGGATGGAGGAGGAATACGCGAAGAGAGATGGCGGTGCCTAGGTCAGGGCTTATTTGAGCGGATGTATCATTGATGTACCATTGAACATATCTGTTCCTCGATTCCAGTCGATAGGAGCTCGTGTCTACAAACGATGATGGTGGTGTTGGGCTTTCCTTTTTCCTTTTTACAACTGTTTATTATGGGTAAAAATTATCAACCAATTTTATTTTGAATTCCCGAGCTTCCGAATTGATGAGGCGACACTGTATGTTGTATGTTGGAGCTTCAGATGAGTTCAGCGTGCTGGTCGGACTCGGATGTCAATATATGTTTCTGTCGGATTCTATTAAAACCACGGGTATTAGTTGTCCTTTTCTGTCGCACCATTCTTACTATGTATTGCATATATTGCTAGTTAGTATATTGTACTCCTGGTCTAGGTCGGAGTGTATTAGACCCCATAATGACTCACACGCAATATTCCAAGATTCTACTCTCTGCTTACTTGGATAAGAAATCACGCTAATGACCTGAGATAGGACATGGCCATATAGTAACTTACAATAATAATCTTGTCGTGGATCTTCAAATCAGATATTGTGAACGAAGAGAATTGCAGATATATATAATTGTCATTCCGTTATACAACTCGAACGTCGGTTCCGAATTCATCACATATTCTGTCAAAATGACCTTCTACCCTAACCAAGCTACATCCGTGATCATTCCGGCCGACTTGGAATTTATTCACACAACTCGCCTGTATCTACGACCGCTGAAGGTGGCCGATGCTGCAGCCATCTTTGAGATCCGACGACGACAAGACGTGGCAGACTGGCTGTAAGATCATCAACTACCACGATATCCCAGGATAGACACTGATCTCTGACTATTTGTAGCTGGCCCAAAGTCCCCCATAAAGACATATCGGAGTCCGAGGCTGTCATTACTAAAAAAACATTCACAACACCGGATGCATCAGGTGCCGTTGGACGGAAGTTCTTCTTCGCCATAATCCGCTCCGAGGATTCAGTACAGAGAGTTATTGGAGCAGTGGGAATCAATGCTCTCAGCCCAGCCCCGTCAGTGGGGTACAATATACACCCTGACTTCTGGGGAAAGGGCTATGCCACTGAGGCAGTTGCTGGTGTGATAGACGCGTGGTGGGAGCTTGACAGAATGGTTCTCGACGGGACTGTATTGGAGTTGGAAAAAGAGAAGTTGTTTGCGGCGTGCAATAGAGCGAACATTGGCAGTGTGAAGGTACTGCAGAAGACTGGGTTTAATATCTACCACGAGCAGTCGATCGAGGGTGATGTGGTTGCACATTTTGAGTTGGAGAAGCCCACAAAATAGCATGACCGACAAAGTACCGACCCACTCAGTGATAGTCTGGCGTTTATCTTGCTGTGCCTTGTTGTGAGTGACATTAAAGTGGGGAATGTGAACATACTCGGGATATCAAGTACTCAATATCCCGGTGAAAGATAACTTTGACGACCGTGCAGCTTTTTGATGCAAGATAATAGCTGGTAGACCCTGACGCTGACTATGATGCCTTTGACATCTCGATTGCATCTTAGGTGCAGTGACGGTAAACATATAATGCTCAATAGCAAATAACAACTGAAAGCCTGAGCATTCACACTGTGCAATCCCCTCCCTTTAATGTATATAATCCATGAAAGATGTTGTTTCTTCATCCTTCGTCAACACCCCGGTCCTTACAGACATCCTCCACATCACAGATCTACACATCTGCATCAACATTTGCCTATCAGTGTTAGATCTCCAACGCAATCATGTGAGCCAATGAACAAAGCTGCCTTTGAGAAGGTAGGATCTCGGGAGCTGAACCGTATATAGGGATCTGACAGGAATCGTCATGGAGTATAGCGGTGGTTCACCACAAGTGAAACGGATGCGCGAAATGGAACCCTCACGAGAAATTGTCCTTAGTGAGATGACACCGTTGGAATTCTACAACGGTATTAGAGAGAGTAAAAATCTCAGGGCAGCAACAGTTCAAATTGTGGGCACCAAACCCCTGGTATCTTGCCGCAATTGTGAAAATTCTATCCGGCCATTCACAGAATGTATAATGCTCCCAAACCTGTCCAATGGTTGTTGCGCAAACTGCCTATGGAAAGACGGTCAAAGGGCGTGCAGCATCACCATTGGTACGCTCTCGAATCCAACGGGTATCCTATGACATTTTATCTAACAGCTATTCTACGAAAGTCCGGCCTAGGAGCCACCCGAAAGTCAATCCCGGCAAGGTGGTTCTCCAAGGAAAGGTGACCAAGCTGAAACAAGAAGTAAGGTATTTTGATCAGACCTTCAAAGTAATCCGGACTGCCATGCTCGATTTTCTCAATGGAAACCCCAATAAAACACAACAATTTCAAATCAATGGTGGGTTGATCTCTCTGAAATCCCATGTTGATGGAGTGTTGGAAGCCATGGAGCGTGTTTCTTTGAAGGAAGAAAACGCAGGAGACGACAAGAAAGATGATGAGGAAGACAACAAGGTGGATGAAGAGTCAGATGAAGAGTCAGATGAAGAGTTAGAGGAAAAGCTAGAGAAGAAGTCAGAGGCAGAGGAGGTGGAAGAAGATGAAGAAGACGAGGAGGAAGACGAGGAGGGAGACGATTGATCAACTATCACGACATGTCAGTTGGAGAAGGAAGCAGTCTTTCAGGTCACCCGCCAGATCCGTGGTCAGGTATCCTTGGTGTAGCGTTTGCTGTATGAGGTCAAAGGAAAAAGAGAAAGAGAACAAGGGAGTGATGTATGGGATGTGATGTTATTTCCAAAGCTTAGTGAGCCCTTACGGCCTGGAGTGGCCGCAACTGATATCCAACGAATCAAGACTATGGAAAGTGCGTCGTAGATAATGGTATATTTCATATATTCTTCATAGTAAACATGGTACTATGGACCTTGATGGATTGTAGCGGATACTTATCGTCGAGGCAGTGAAGTGGTGAATCTAGTCCTTGTGTACTACGCAGGGAGCCCCCTTCTCCTTCTATATGAAAGGTTTTAGGCAAAATAATGCGCCTTGTGTCATACATATACCTAGGTAGAACCACAAGAGATATGCAGCTAATCCCAACAAGGAGATCCAATAAGGAAATTCAACTATGGACTCGATCAAAAGATTATTGAAACAACATGTACTCCGTATATAGAGAGAAATTACCAGATTGTTCTGATGACACTCTTGTAGTATATGTAGGCCCTAATAGCCCTCAGGGGCCACTTGTTTTGTAACATGCATGCGATATGATCAGTCGGGGACATTGGTTTAAGGGCAATTACAGTCCACGGTTGAAGACTTTGTTTAGTCATGGCATCACGTGTAGAATAGATCACGTGGCTGGATGCAGCCAGCTTGACAGAGCCACCTGAGAACGAGTTCAACTAGACCCCCGGCTATCATTATCTGCAACAACAGAGCCGAGGATCTGTGCCTTTCATTGAATATATCTGTCTACTGTCGCTCTTTAGCCACCTTTCCCTTGTCTTTTTACCAAAAGACACGGCTCCTGGTAGCCTCCTCACACCATGGCTCCGCGGGACACCTTCTTCCGCTCGGTGGATATGAGCTTGACCCAGCTCTACATTGCCAACGAGATCGGAAGAGAAGTTGTCAGCGCTTTAGGTGAAGTTGGTCAGGTTCAGTTCCGAGATGTAAGTGACGAAGAATGCTTTGCTTTGATGCTCCCCGCTGACCTCTTTCTAGCTCAACCCGGACACGAACGCTTTCCAAAGAACCTTCACCAAAGAAATCCGTCGCCTGGACAATGTCGAAAGGCAGCTCCGCTATTTTCACAAACAGATGGAAAAGGCCACAATCCCCATGAGATCTTCCTCGGATTTTTCCGATACATTGGCTGCCCCTTTAGCGTCGGAGATCGATGAGTTGGCTGATCGCAGCGAGAGCCTCGAACAGCGGATTGTCTCTCTGAACGATAGCTATGAGACTTTGAAGAAGCGCGAAGTCGAGCTGAGCGAATGGCGATGGGTACTTAGAGAGGCCGGTGGATTCTTCGATCGGGTATGTGGCTTCGAGTATACCAATGACAGACGAGGCTAACTGAATAGGCCCATACACAAACAGAAGACATTCGTCAATCCTTTGACAACGATGAAGCTCCATTGCTCCGCGATGTTGAGCACCATGCCCCTCGTCAAAATGGAGACACCCAGGGCCAGCAGAGCTTCTCGGAAATGAACATTGGATTCGTTGCTGGTGTTATCCCCCGGGATCGCATCGGAGCATTTGAGCGTATCCTTTGGCGCACCCTGCGCGGAAACCTTTACATGAACCAGTCTGAGATCCCGGAGCCCATTATCGACCCGATGACCAACGTGGAAGTCCACAAGAATGTTTTCGTCATCTTCGCTCACGGCAAGAACATCCTTGCCAAGATCCGAAAGATCTCGGAGTCGCTCAACGCATCCTTGTACGGTGTCGATGAGAACAGTGAGTTGAGAAGAGACCAGATTCACGAAGTGAACACCCGCCTCGGCGATGTTGGCAATGTGCTCCGCAACACCAAGAACACCCTTGATGCGGAACTTTCCCAAATTGCTCGCTCGCTCGCCGCGTGGATGATCATTGTCAAGAAGGAGAAGGCCGTTTACGACACCTTGAACAAATTTTCATACGATCAAGCACGGAAGACGCTGATCGCCGAGGCGTGGTGTCCGACAAACTCTCTTGCTCTGATCAAGTCAACCCTTCAGGATGTGAACGACCGCGCAGGCCTCACTGTTCCTACAATTGTCAATCAGATCCGAACCAACAAGACCCCTCCGACTTTTGTCAGGACGAACAAGTTTACCGAAGGGTTCCAAACAATTGTGAATGCTTACGGTATCCCTAAGTATTCGGAAGTCAACCCTGGCCTGTACACGGTTGTCACTTTCCCCTTCTTGTTCGCGGTCATGTTCGGTGATTGTGGTCATGGTGCACTGATGACCATGGCCGCTTCTGCTATGATCTTCTGGGAAAAGAAGCTGGCGCGGACTAAACTGGATGAACTGACATACATGGCATTCTATGGACGATACATCATGTTGATGATGGGCCTGTTCTCGATCTACACCGGTTTTATTTACAACGATATTTTCTCCAAATCTTTCACCATCTTCCCCAGTCAGTGGCAATGGCCCGAGGACATCAAGGCCGGCGAAATGGTCGAGGCGACATTGAAAGAAGGATACCGGTATCCGATTGGTCTGGACTGGAACTGGCACGAGGCGGACAATTCCTTGCTCTTTTCGAACAGTATGAAGATGAAGATGAGTGTTCTCCTTGGATGGTGCCACATGACCTATGCCCTTTGCCTGCAATACGTCAATGGACGGCACTTTAAGTCTAAGGTTGACATTTGGGGCAATTTTGTTCCTGGGTTGCTCTTCTTCCAGTCAATCTTCGGTTACCTTGTCCTCACTATTCTCTACAAGTGGACCGTGAACTGGCAGGAGAAGGGTGTGAACCCCCCCGGTCTCCTGAACATGCTCATCTTCATGTTCCTGAGCCCTGGTACGGTGGAAGAACAACTCTATCCTGGCCAGAGCTCGGTCCAGATTCTCCTTCTCCTTGTCGCTGTGGCACAGGTACCTATCATGCTCTTCCTCAAGCCGTTCTGGCTCCGATATGAACACAACCGTGCTCGTGCCCTGGGTTACCGCGGCCTTGGCGAGAACTCCCGGGTGAGCGCACTTGACGCTGATGGTGACTTGGACGGCGGGCCGGGTCGCGACAGTCTGGCTAGCGATGGGGAAGGCGTGGCTATGCTTTCCCAAGACATCGATGACAGTGAAGAGCACGAGGAATTCGACTTTGGCGACCTCATGATCCACCAAGTCATCCACACTATCGAATTCTGCCTCAACTGTATCTCTCACACTGCCTCCTACCTTCGTCTTTGGGCTCTGTCGCTTGCCCACCAGCAACTCTCGATCGTTCTCTGGACCATGACCATTGGTAGTGCCTTTCAGCAGGAGAACCCGGTGACCCGGGTTATCATGGTTGTTGTCAGCTTCTACCTTTGGTTCGTGCTAACTCTTTGTATTCTGTGTGCGATGGAAGGTACTAGTGCCATGTTGCACTCACTTCGTCTTCACTGGGTTGAGGCGATGAGCAAGCATTTCGTTGGTGAGGGTATTCCTTTCTTGCCTTTCAGCTTCAAGACCCTGTTGGAGGAGGACCCCGTGGACTAGTAGGGGGTTTTTTTTTGGTGTTTTCTTTTTCTACAACGCATGGGATTGTCTCACTCCCTTTCTCCTTTTTTGTATTGTAAAGGGTCTAGAACTATACATTATCTACGGAGTATACAACATACAGTACACCGTACCGACCAGTCCCACCTGTTATTGTTCCATTGATGTAGATCCGTACATATACCCACACCGAACTATCAATTATAGTGTAGATATTCCCCTTATAATATCTCCCCCTTTAATTAGGTACACCAATGACATTACCTAAATCTCACGATCTTTTCAAGTGCGCATGACTACGAGTGGGGTATAGGGAATTTATTCTTCCGTTGCTGATCCCGAGGCCGAGTCAGGCAAGGAATAGACCGGGAGGAATCTAGACCATTGGACAACGCATCTTGGATTTTTATCTTTGAACATACTAGTATGGGAGATATAGCGAATTGGAAAGAGTCTGGGGATCTACGTGGGTTATCTCTAAAATATCCAAATATCTGCAACAATCAACAAATGATATTTGATAGGGAAGGTCTATAGTTAAAAGAGACGGGCGTTCCCGGCAAGGGGAAACCGAGGAGGGTCCGGGCAGGTCACGCGGGGCAAAATGACGAAAACGGGGGGTCTGAGGTCACTCCCCATACTCCCGTACTCTCTCCCTCTTGTACTTCTACCCGGTTTGATCCTCTCTCCTCTCAACTATTTTTTCTTGTTTCAATATTGCCACTTTCTACTACTTAACCTACTCTTCATTTGGATCTCAATTGCTATATCTTTCAATCTTCATACCATAAATCCTCCCAACAATACCTCAAAATGGCTACAGCACCCCCCGTTGGAGCGGAGAACATCAACACTGATATCGTCACACTTTCCCGCTTCTTTACAGAAGAACAGATTAAATACCCTGAAGCCTCGGGTGACTTCACTCTCCTGTGCCATGCCCTCCAATTCTCCTTCAAGTCAATTGCCTACTATATCCGTCGTGCCTCCTTGATCAACCTTACCGGACTGGCTGGTTCCTCAAACATAACCGGTGATGACCAGAAGAAGCTGGACGTGATTGGAAATGACATCTTCATCTCTGCAATGCGTGGCTCTGGCAAGTGCCGTATTATCGTCTCAGAAGAAGAAGAGGAAGTGATCCGGTTCGACGAGCACCCCAATGCTCGTTACGCTGTCGTCTGCGATCCCATTGACGGTTCCTCCAACCTGGACGCCGGTGTGTCTGTCGGCACCATCTTCGGTATCTTCCAGCTCCCCGACGAGGTCCTGGGTCCCAACAAGACTGTCGGCCCAGAGGACCTGCTCCACCCGGGTACCAGCCTGGTGGCGTCTGGCTTTACCATGTACGGCGCCTCAGCGCAGCTCGTTATCACGATGCGTGGTGGCGGTGTCAACGGCTTCACGCTCGAGAACTCG